TCACTGAGTTACGCAAGCCCCTTCGCCACGACAAGGCAGTGATCCATGAAGGGGTATGATGGATTTGCACAGCCCTAATTCATTCTTCTCATTGCCCAAGTATTGAGTGGGTTTATTTTGGTTAAGGGGTAGATTGCTAATTTTCTCCTTGTCCTCAGTATAAAAAGTATGGCTGTGTTGGCAGTAATGAAAATCATTAGGGAATCTTTAGTTTTCCCAAGATTTTATATCTCTGATGCTTTCTTGCAAATTTCTTCGACCTCGTACCTTCCAGGTTGGTTTGGGCTACAACTTCAAAGAGTCCCAGCTATCACATGCAATCATTGGAAATACTGGGAGATGGTTGCCTTAATATATACTGATTGCCTATATAACAGTTCAATTCTCATTAACATTTTAAGGCTTGTTCTGTAAGATTGGGCAGTTTGAGATAATTTTTTCCTTTATGCTGAATGCTACTTCTGATCATTTTCAGAATTCTGAAATCTACAAGTTGACTTTGGATCAATACAATGAGGCAGTCACCAATGCAGAAGATCAAATCAGGTAAAAAAAAATCTTATTCTTTGCTGTATCTTTAATACATATAAATATAATGGTTTCCACAAAGTGTCAGTGAGATGTAGGTCACCTAAAAGATTTTCTCCAAAGTTTGATGTAAGCCTAGATAGGGGATCAGATACAGTCATCATGAGGGCCACAACGCTGAAATCTTGATACGTTCATACAAAAGTCTCTAGGAGCAGTGAAGCCATTGATTCTGTAGGAGAAATCCCAGAAACCCAATGATAAGGAAGTAGCTCTGAAACTCAAGGCAAATGTATCTTCCACCCTACTCCTATCAGATTGATCCCAGGTCATCACCCTGCCCTAGGCTTGTGGATCCTGCAGAACCCCTTATGTGGGGCCTTCCCTTTGCCTACGACACCCTAAGAGGGCAAAGGAGAAAGGTCATCACAGCCACAGCCACAGGCTGCTCTTTTCCACTTGCTTGCTTCCCTCATCACCTCCGCCTCTCCTTGTTATGGCTTTAGAGTGAGAAGAAGCTACATTTCCAGGCTGCAGACTGGGGGCAGGAGAAGCAGGCAAGTAGGGAAGAGCAGGCCCCAGCCCTGACCCTAACTGATGAGCTATGCAAGCTATGTGGTCACTCTACTGCTGTGTATGTGAGTGTATACTTTTTATGTTCTGGTTTGTCAGAAAACTGGTATCTTTCCTTTCACTCTCTCCTTGTCTCCATCAATCTACTTTGCTCTACTCTGAGTTGTACGCTGACTGAAATGAGCAGGAAACAGTGCTGCCTTCTTGTGGACTGTCCCTGGAAATTGAGAGATGCGTGCCCCACAGAACTTACTCTTTCCTAAGTATTATAGGTTGCAGACAATGGCTTAAAGCTGCATGCAATAGCTCTGAGACTTCAGGTAGTGGCCCACAGACCACACATCTGAGATCTGTAGCCTAGATGGCTCTATATGGTCAAGGACTAAATCTGTTTATCTGTGCTATTTGGTGATTCTGCAGTCAGAATCGGCCAAAAGAGTTCTCTGGTTTAGTAGTCTAAATCACATTTCCAGGGGCAATCTGTTCCATACAATGCGAGGCTACTATTGAAAAGACATGCTTTCTGGTCCTGGTTCCTTTGAATTCACCTTGGTATGGGATCTTTAGCAAGCCCTCTCTAGATGATCAGACTACACAGGTAGAACTATACCTGGGAGGATGATCCTTGATATATCCCAGTGCCACACCATATAAGGCTTCATACATAACCAGCATTTTGAATGGAGTCCAGAAGCTTACCTGTCAGTGCAATCTGAGCATCACAATTTGCACTAGTTGCAGCTTCTGAGTTGTCTTCAAAGGCAGCTCCACATAGAACACCTTTTATGTGGTGGTCAGTTGCAAAGTCATCTCAGTCCAGGTAGGGCTATAACTAATGTACTAGTTCCAGCAGGAGGATCCCCAGGTCACAGACCAGCTCTTTCAGGAAACTGCAGCCCTATTGAGAGCAACTATTGAGGCTGATGTTATTAGATAACACTGATTTTTACAAACAGATGGCAACTCTGTCTTGCTAGGGTTTAACCTGAGCTTATTTCTCCCAATCTATTCCATAACACATCTGTAGACACCAGTTCAAGAGATCCACAGCATCTCCAGCTCGGCCCTAAGTGGTGATGTACAGCATATTGGTGACATGTTGTAGACAGTAAGGAAGATGACCTTGACAGAGAGATGCAAGATACGTTACTAAAGTGATGACAGGCAGAAAATATGTAGAAGAGCCTCAGAAAGAAACTTCCCTAATTCACAGTGTAAGAAGGGGGAGGAGGTATACAACATAATCAAACTCTTATAAGATTCTGTCATTATAGCCACTTTTAATAAAAGTAGTTTCAGTCTTCCTATGGAGTTGATTTCTTGGTCTGATCTACTTGATGGGGCTGACTCACATCATCCATAACTGACAGATCACCTCTTCCAGTGCTTTCATATAGATAACATGGGGAAGAGGACCAATTCCGGTGACACCCAGCATTGGAGCAGCCAAGGGCTTAAATGCTCTTCCCCTTCAATAACCAATTGGAACTGCTCACTCAAGTAGAAGACAGGTTTGACAAATGAGAAAAAGGGTTTTGTAGTTGCATTGTGGGAGAAAAATGTGATTGAACTTAGGCAGATTTGTTTTGTTTTGTTTTGACCATAGTTAAGATTTTGGAGGACCCTGTGATATGTAGTATCTTTTAGATAGCCTTTCATCTGGGGGAGGGGGTAGATGAGTTTGATATGAGCTCCAAGAAACCTAAATCATTGCCATCTATCTTTCTATTATAAACCAAATAATAGCTCCCTAAATATGTAAAACTTAAGCATTATATGGTTGCTTAAGTAGCATGCGTACATCCTGTCTTTACTATTACAAGATGCTCTATGTGGGGCTAGCCTTGAAATGTTACAGTTGGAGCAAAATTCACTAGCTAGGCTGCTAACCAGTGCAAAATACAGAGATCTGCTCTGGTTGCCAGTTCCTTTCTGGACGTAATTTAAAACTCTAAATAACTTTGGGCCTGATTATCAGATGGATTGTCTCTCCTGATAGGAAGATGTAGGGCCAGTAAGTTCTGCAGAAGAGGCCCTTGTGAGCTGTCAGAGGCTCATTCATCTGGAACACAAATTATGGCTTTCTGCATCATTCTTAGGCTTTGTAATGTACTTGAGTCAGTCAGTTCTTCCACCTCTGTATTTAGAAAATCCATAAAGATACCTGTCTTTTGTCAGGATTTTAATTGTTGACTGCTTTTATTACTAAATGTAATTTTTAAACATGAACTTCAATATTTTAATGATTGTTAGCTACCTTGAATGCTTGACTAGAAAGGCATGAAAAATATAAATAACACATTTCTAACTTCTTGATGATTCATTGAATAGAATCATAGAACTGGGAGAGGCCACTTAGGCCATCAAGTCCAATACTTTGCACATGAATCCAAATTAAAGGATTCCAGATAGATGTAATTGATACCACTGTCAAATTACTCTTACTCTTAGGAAGTTCTTTCTAACATTCAGTTGAAATCTGTCTTCCTATAACTTAAATCTATTGTTCCACATCTTGCACTCTGGAACAAGAGAGAAAAGGTCTGACCTTCTTTCATTTGACATCCTTTCAGGTATCATCTCCTTTATTCCTAATAATCCAGGAACAGTTATGCAGTCCAGATCATACTAATCCACTTTACAGTAAGTTTGGAGTTTGGGATATCAGCTGCCCTTTCTAAAACATATTCCCAAGATATGAGAAACAATATTACACCACCAAGAGATAATGGTCACCAATAATCACCAAGCATGAAGACAAGAATACAAAGCCTGAAATTTTCCATATCTCCGAAACCACATTTGCCAATGAAAATCTATAGCATTTGGTTTTATTCATAGTTACATCAAGAATGCATTCAGTGAGTATGGGCCCTTTGCATAATTAATACAGATGCAGAAATTTGCAACAGGCAGCAGCAACTAGGGGCGCTTTCAGCTATTCTTCTTTTCTCCCTTGCAGACAGGAGAAAGGCTTGTGTGGCTTCTTTTGTTTTCTGTGACCATTTTTCCATGGGTGTTACAGTGTCTTCTAAAGTCATTCAACCCACATTGTACCAAACTAACAATAATGAAGACAGGTTTTGTATCATTTTAGTGATGGTTATGGAGATGATATAATGCTAGGGAAATGGCCTATCTTTCTAGCCCAACAGGAATTATGCAACTAGGCCAAGCATCTGTTATATCTCAAAACCTTCTATGCCGATAGTGTGTTCATCACCAGCAGAGATGAATATGCTTATGCTGTGATTTCTACCAGTAATAATCACAACAAAATATTCCATAGAAAAAGATAGCCGATTGTCTCTTTCCAAATTGTGCATGAAGATACTTCAATTCTAATAGACTTCAACAACAAACAGCAATGACTGACTCTGGAATTTTCACCTCATTCAGGGAGTGAGAGATTGCTAGTCTAAAATTCCTCCAAACTGGATTCCATCCTTTCTTCTTGAAGAGGACATCCCAGACTCAGAGCTTTATTTTGTAAATATGAATGTGACAAGATACAGGTATCCCAGCAACCAAGTTGCAGCAGTTACAGTAAAGCCTGTATTGCAGCTCCAATCATGTGTTCAGATAGGCTTCTTCACAGGGATGCATTTTGAATTTTCTTACAGTAAATTTCCTACCAGGACTCTGCAAAAGTATTGTGGTGTTTATAAAATCCATTTGTTTGAGCAAGGAACTTCTTTCTGAATCATTAAAACAGCACTGTCCTTTACAACAGACAACTGGGGATAGCCTTAGTAGCATATATTCAAGCCTTGCAAACAACATAACAGCTTTAATGTTTCAAAGATATGTTTGTTCTAATGCACTTTGCAAAGCATTTCATTCAATTGCTTTGCACAGCCCTGGTGATTACTTGCACATTTGGTGCTTTAAATTCTGTCTTCTATAGCTTCACAGCCATTGCAAACTATCAGGAAGCACCTTATAGGAAGAAAGAACGAAGTGGGAATCAGAATGCCCATCAAAGAGGCTGGAATAATGTAAAGGTTTGGTTCAGAATTACTTTAGTATTTGCTCTGAGCACAAAACTTGTTGTATCAGCAGGAGAATAGCAGAATGTTCATTCTAGTAGGGTAAAAAGCAAATAAAAATATCCAAAGTTCCAGAAGCTAAGGAACTATTTAAATATTATTTTGCACAATGTCATCATGATATAACTACTTTAAAACTATGCATGGAAAACAAAGCTGTATCTATATATGTTTGATGCTGGTAACTATTGAAATCAGTTTAAGGAAGTTTGAATCTTGAAAGGTATCCTGTTTAGGGAGATGCCTCTCTAGCCAAAATATGAGTTGAAAGACTTTTCATGGTTTCCTCCCAGGAAAGTGTACAAGAACTGGCATTAAAGATAGTCACTGTTTACTGAACATAGATGGAGCTCCAGCAGAGCGCCACCTCCTCCAGCTACCAGCTGCTGCTTCTAA